GGATATGTGTTTGTAGACAACAAAACATGTCCTGCAAGAATGTCCCTTGTATAACACATTAAGAAGGGAACACTGGCTCACTGAGTCAAAACTATTTTCAAAGTTGTATGGAACTACACGGGAACTTATAAAAACAGTCAAATATAAGAACTCATCTTGTGCTGTCAGAGGGAAAGCCATCAAGAACAAGAAAAAGGATTAAACTCGGTGCCGTAAGGTACACCCTATCGTTTTTATATGCTTTCACAAACGTTTCTTCCCTCAACATTTATCTATTCCTGTTATCAATATCCCAGGAAAGTGAAGTCACGTTTTGTTGGAATGAAATGGGTCGCATCAATCCAGAGGTCACAGGTGGTGAGAGTCGCGTGGGTATTTTGCCTGAGCTATATAGGCGTGTTCGGGAATGAGCAGGCAGAAAGATTGGCTGGACTGGTCCCACTTGCTTGGGGTAAGGAAGAGAAAGTTTACTGCAACTGTAAAAAGCAGAAATGATCTCCCGTATGTGGGACGAGGTAACAAGTAAAATGGAAGATACTGAAATCCCATACCTGGAGAGACTGACGCAGCAAGAAGTGTCTGCGGGTTATAGAAGCCACCCGAGACGTGAGGGAAAGAAAAGATGAGTAGTTAATCAGATGAAAACATGTATAATCAGTATAAAGACACCTCGTTAGCTGTTAAAAAGAGAGACGGCGCTAATGTAAGCTTGTTGTAAGCGCTAGCTCTGTGGCTAAGTCGAAGCGAACGCTTCGTAATGCCGGAATGCCGGGTTAAATCCCAGCTGCAGGCCATGCGCCTTGCGTTGCTTTCGACAGTGGTATCAAGAAAGCCGACCGTCCAGATAGCAATGACAAACTACTGGACGTAAATTTGCCTAGAAAAACCACACAACAGACGGGGGCTGTTGGGGTTAGTTCTGCAAAGTTCTGTAAAGGATATGCAACTCACCATAAGCGCTATGATATCGAATCTTTGCACAAATGAGCCCAGATATAAATAAATTTAAAGTTACTAAATTACTGACTGATTATTCTACCAGTGTTTTCTCCACGCCTGGAGTATGGCGGTTGACTATCAATTTCACCTTCTTTGTCCGCTGATGGTGGTGCCCTTCTATTAGTGAGTATTGTAGATCACTGAGGTCAAGGGGAAAAACGTGGTAAGACTGTTGTCATTCTAACTGTCTAGATTTCCCACTGGTGAGGGAGCTTACGTCAGGTATTGTAGATCACTGAGGTCAAGGGGAAAAACGTGGTAAGACTGTTGTCATTCTAACTGTCTAGATTTCCCACTGGTGAGAAAACTTACGCCAGCACCTAATCTGTGTCTATCTCAGCTGTCTATTTCAGTGTCGGTATGGTATTGTAAGTGTACATTGTCTGTGTCCATAACATTTTTTTGTACTTCTTATTCATTATTTGCCCAGTGACGTCAAAGCAATTTATGATGAACACACCATGTTGCATCTTTTTTTGTTTTTAAAATAAGATAACTCATTGCTATTTTGTTTATATTTGTGGTGGTGGTGGAGGAGCGGGGGGAGTAAAAGATTGTCTGTATGACATAAAACATATTGCTCTATTATATATAAATATTTTGTTGTTCACATTTCCCAGAATTTGTAGCGAATTTCGTGTTTCCTTGTAGTTGTCGTGCTCACTATTTTAAAATCGATCAGAAATAACTGTATTATTTCGTGGTCACGACTTTTCTCAAATGTTGTTCGGTGTCATTTTAAATGGAGGTAGGGCCCTGAAACTTTGTTCAATAGCGCAATAATAATAATAATAATGATAATGATAATAATAATAATAATAATAATAATAATAATAATAATAATATTAATAATAATAATAATAATAATAATAATAATAATAATAACTATTATTGTATGATGAAAGGCAAACTGATATAATAATATGTTTAAAATAATGCGAGATGTGTTCCTGACATCATTTTTTGAGTCGTTGCTTTCTTCTGACGTTACATGAATACCGGACCAGTTAAAAATATGGATTTATTGCATCAAATAAAAACCCGCGAAGAACCTGATTTACATATCTGTCAAAGTCGTCCCCATGTGGTATGCAGTTTTTTGTTTGAAGGCCCACCCTGGCTCCTGCCTGGGGCCCTAGATATAGCCAGGTCACAGATATGGCCTAGCCATAGATATGACCTTACGCTGAAAAGGGTTTCTCTCCACGGGTGATCCTCATCCGCATAGTGGCACTTTGTGTCACAGTTTGTTTATCGCTTGTGTGATATCCTGGTGGGGTACCTACCTACCTAGCGATTTACATATGGCCGCCTCATTTATACACTGACTAGCCCCATATATTTATAGATCAAATATAGATTGTATCTCAAGGGGAAAAAAAGCTAGCAAGTATTGTGGTAATACAAGTAAAGGGCCCTTTCTCCACACCTTCACTTAAATCAGGCAAATAAGGCTTTAGAGCAATAAACACGTGGTGGGTGGTGTGGTCAGCATCACGGCGGCCGCTTTTACTTCCCAGGACCGCACCTGGTACCCATTCAAGGCTGGGTCGACCTGGGAACCAAGGTCATTGATGAAAAATGTCCGACTCCTTAAGGACCCGAACCGACGGCCTCGCGATCCGCAGGCGAGTGTCTCGCCACTACACCACGGCAGCTCGCTCTAGGTGAGTTATGCTGGTCTATGATGTGCCATGTTTGAGAGGATAATAATAGCAGTGATTAAGAAGATGATAATATATGTATCGAACTATTATAGTATCGTCATCATGTGCCGTGCCAGTAGGCGTAGGCTGTCATGGTTCACCATCTCACACGATCCCCAGAATCAGGGGTCAGTTCACTTTTTTTTTGTCCGTCTTCATCCATCAGGTCAGGTGATCCAGGTATTCGTATTTTTGCCTTCCTCTTACTCTTTTTCCATCAGTCAATGTACTACATTTTAAGCGCGGGAATTAAGTACTTCCCAAACCGTGCAAAAAATGTCATGCCATCGTTGCTAAAGACATTTTTTTAAAGTTGTTACCAAGTTCTGGAGTCCATTACTTCTCATAACATGCACCCCCTCCCCCCCCCCCCCCCCCTAACACCCCAAAGACTGTCGGCGCCTGATTGTTCTGAATGTACGGCTTTCAAATGTCTCGATGAGAACTGATTAGTTTTTTTTTTTTTTTTTACATCCGTCTACGCCGTTCTTTGCATTTTCCTCAGAATAAATAAATCAAGAACTGATATCAGAACATGCCAACACGTGCTCCGTCTCCTTCGTCAATAACTAACGAAGAACTGACATGCTAATTGTAACAGTTGCAACGTGATTAAAACCCCGCCTCTATTTCCCCCTTCAGTTTTATCTCCCAAATCTTCCAGAACCTCTACTCACCTCCAACCCCCCCCCCCCTTTTCTCCGTTTTTCATAGAGCCTTCACCACATGTGCTTTATCATAAAGTAGCTCATTGCCTCCAGGAGCGGGAGCAACTAATCTACCAGTCTGCTCGTTGCCTCGTACACCTGAATATCCTGGGCAGAACAACCCATGATATGCTCTTTCTCTGGGTCTCATCGAGTGAGGCAAGCCACTATTATGGCAGTACACCAGTTTCAATTTTCCGAATTATGCTCTGTTCGATCACAACATGTCGGACTGTGCTGTTCTCAGGCCATCAGAGTTGAGTTGAGTTGAGTCAAGAAGTGACATCACAGCACTCTGGGCATTCCCATGCGTGCTCCGTTCTCATCTTCAACAGCCAGCGCAGAGTTCCAATACTGATGGTACCACTCGAAATCTGGTTATACGTCCGTCTTGCCTCTCCCCTGAGTGTGGTAAGCCGGACAGACCCTCTGGTTACACCCAGGCGCCTCATTCTCTCCAGGCCATAATAATCTTGTTTCTCCACTGATTCCGTTGCTTGTTCCCAAAAGACCTTGACCACATCTGCCTTGTCATGTATCAATTGATCACTCAGTGGTGCAGATCCAGCCAATCTGTCTGCCTGCTCATTCCCACCACGCCGGCATGGCCTAAAGAAGAGATCCAAAGTATGCTCACAACCCGTGACCTTTCCAGTGAAGCTTGCCACTCTGCTCGAGGCATCCCTGCCTTCACATTTCTCAGCATGCTTTCGGAGTCTGTTACAATTACAGCATGTGTATGAATCTTGTTCTCTAGCCCCTGGAGAGCTGCGGTTACCGCCTTCACCTCCATTCTCATGCTAGATGTTGTGGTGTCGTATGCTAGGCTCTTTTGTACTCAAGATTTTCTATTGATTTTTGCCACGAACCCCCTGGCACTTCTCTTTCCTCTCAACACCGAACAATCTGTATAGATAATCAGATCACCAGAGCGTGAATTGTTGTGAATCAACTGTTGGAATTCCAACACCGTAGCACCCGCTGGTCACTCTCTGCACATAGGGCCCAATGTGATCATGACCCTAAACAGGTCAGACTTTCCCGCTGGTACTCTGACCCACTGCTCTCCTCGCCCAATGTCCTCCAGCATGCATACTTGTCTAATTGTGTCTTCTGCTGGAATCATCCACTTTTCAGCCCCTCACCCTTACCTGCGGCCAAGTTTACTACTGTCGCCTGTAACTCTTGAGCTTTTTGATCCTGAAATCTCCCCTTCCTATATGCGAGAACATTATCTGCAAATGTCAATATTCTGCCAACTCCAGGTGTTTCCAGGTGTGCAATATAGCTCGTAAAAACATTGCAAAGTACAGGTGAAATTGCAGATCCATGAGGCAGTCCTGGAGCTATAATACATGGTTCAAGGTCTATGAACCCGGGCAGAGAGCTACCCGGCGAGTAAAAAAACCGGCTGCTATCCAGTTCACCAATCAAAGACAGACTTCCCTCTCCGTAAACGCTTTCATCAAGATACTGTATCTGATTGTTCTAAGCATCTTCTAAATCAAGTGCCGCTGCCACCGGATAGCTGCCGTTGCTACATGTCAAGCAGTGCACATTCACCATTGCAATTAAAACTTCATCCACTCTTCTGATCTCTCACTACAGACCCATTTGTATTTAAAGTGATGTCACCGGGGCGGGAAATTTCATTGATCAGCTCATGCACCGCTGTCTCTGTTACACCAGCTCTCCATTCCTTGCACCCTCGCTACAAGGCAACTTTCACTCTGTGCAAGTCAACCTCATTTCAGCCGATGTCCCTTGCTATCCTTTAAGGCCTCATGAAAAATATGTTCTCTGTCCATTGCCACTTTACGGTACATTTTCGCCTGTAAAACTTTGTATCTCTCACATACAGATGGCAAAGCAGGTATCTGCCGCATGCACACTATTGGCGTGTCCGTGTACACCGCAAAGTAACTCGCATGCCTTCATTTTGTATGCGTTTCAACTTCTCTATTAGGGAATGAGATACCTTTGGAGGTCCCAAACCATTCCAGATCCCCGAAATAATCAGTTGCTAGTAGAGTCTCTAAAGCATTTTCTGTTACATGTGCACTGATGCCACCACCTTCTCAGAAACCACATGTGAACGTTTTTCAGCTTGTTTGCTGATTGTCCATATTTCACGTGCATAGAATAACACAGGCTCTACAGAACACTTCAACACTATTTTTCGCACTGCGGTTGAAATCTCCTTGTTGGTTGGAATCTTTTGCATCTAGCTACAGGCTGTTGTCGTCATAGCAATTCTTGTTCTATTATCTGCCAGACTTCTTGCATCAGATGGTATGACTGTTCCAAGACATCTTGCATCAGATGGTATGACTGTTCCAAGACATCTTGCATCAGATGGTGTGACTGTTCCAAGACATCTTGCATCAGATGGTGTGACTGTTTCAAGACATCTTGCATCAGATGGTGTGACTGTTTCAAGACATCTTGCATCAGATGGTATGACTGTTCCAAGACATCTTGCATCAGATGGTATGACTGTTTCAAGACATCTTGCATCAGATGGTATGACTGTTCCAAGACATCTTGCATCAGATGGTATGACTGTTCCAAGACATCTTGCATCAGATGGTATGACTGTTCCAAGACATCTTGCATCAGATGGTATGACTGTTTCAAGGCATCTTGCATCAGATGGTATGACTGTTTCAAGACTTCTTGCATCAGATGGTATGACTGTTCCAAGACATCTTGCATCAGATGGTATGACTGTTCCCCGACTTCTTGCATCAGATGGTATGACTGTTCCCAGACATCTTGCATCAGATGGTGTGACTGTTCCAAGGCATCTTGCATCAGATGGTATGACTGTTTCAAGGTAGCTGTATCTATTGACGCTTAATATTGTTGTCGTGTTCATGTATTTCACACATTCGTATTTCTTTCTTCATGGTGTATTATAACCTGACCCGGGGGCTGAGTGGTCTCGAGGCATAGCGTCCATCTCGTGTGCTGGAGGTCCCGGGTTCAGACTCTGGTGAAGGATGGGATTTTTTCGTGTGGACTTCTGGTAATTTCCCCTGGTCTCTGGGTAGCAAAATCTGGCACACGGGTGTATTGTTGCGCACGTAAAATATCCATTGGCAGTTGGAAATCGAAAAGAGTAGCCTAACGGCGCTGCCCGGGCAAACAAAGTTGGCGCAAAAAATCTACCCAAAATTTGTTTAGGATCCTCGCCGGTACTGCAGAGTTCGTACACTGCGCTGAGATTATTCTGACTCAGGCTTGAAATAGAAGCAGAACGGAGCACTTAAATGTTACTAACCTTGTGCTATGATGTTGATCCGCTGCTTAAACCTAACCTATAACCCGACCCATTTAAAACATTGCTGGGTGGCGGAGGTGGGTGCTAAGCCTTATTTATTTTTTTTCTCAGTGGCGTGAGCTCAATGGGCTTTTTCTTCCTAAAGCCCATGCGTGTGGCGCTGGTTGTCATGTCTATCCACAACCTTTTGTCTCATGCACTTTCAGTCAACTTTGACACGATGATCTTTCCATTCCATGACGTCAAACTGTCCATCATGTGTTCTTTCGGTCTACGTCTCCAACCCTCCACCTTTCCTACCGTCACGATGTACTCCAGTTTTTTCCTTCTCATCAGATGACCAAAGAATGAAGATGGTCTCTCTCTGTTGTGTGCAATCAGTTCCTTCGTGAGCCAGTTTCTTTCACGACATTTTCGTTCTTTTTTTTTTTATTTGTCCAGGGTATTTTCATCATTCGTCTATAAAAGCACATCTCCGTAGCTTCCAAATAAGTTTTCACTAATTTATTAACTGTCCATTATTCACACCCGTATATTAAAATAGGATTTATATATCTTTTAAGAACTCTCTTTCTCGTTTCAACTGACAAAAAAAAAAGATTGCATAAAATTATTTTTTATTTGTAAAAGGCTTCTTTTGCTTGAGCTATTCGACATATAACTTCCTGAATACATCTTCCATCTGATATTATCAGGGTACCTAAGTACTTACACATAGCAACTTGTTTGTGGTTTGTACCATTTACCATGTTTCATTTTGGAGGGTAATTTTCTTTGTAATTATTATTACTTCTGTTTTTCTGTTGTTCAAACCAAGGCCCTTGTTGTCGCTTTCCGTTACAATTACAACCAACATTTCTTGTAGCTGTTTCATTGTCAGCGATAAAAACTATATCGTCAGCATATCGCAGGCTGTTAACCAACCGATATTCCTGGCATACCAGGTATGGATCTAATTATTATTTCACTGTACAAATTGAATAAATCAGCTGATACTACACATCCCTGTCTAACGTCTTGCTTAATGTTTTGAAAAGTTTCACTTGGTTGTCTATGCTTTTGGCTGCTTCTTGTTGCCAGTATATGTTTTAATTCCCATATCTTTACCATCAATGTTTAAAGTTTCCAGAAGTCTAACAATTTCATCACGTTCTTATTTTATCAAATGCTTTTTAGTAATCAATAAAGAACAAATACCGATCTCTATTCTTGTCAATCATTCTTTCTGAAAGTGTTGTCAAGATAAATATGGCGTTGTTTGTGCCTTTACCTTCCACAAAACCACACTGTTCTTCTCCAATTTCAGGTTTAATTTACACAGTACTCTTCTCCTGATAATTCTCAATAATATTGTAATTACATAAGTGATTAAACTAACTGTTCGATGTTCTCCGCACTCCACTGCACCATATGTTTTTGGTAAAGGGATTAAAAGAGATTTCAAAAGGTCATTAGGTACGTATCAACTGTTTACATAAATCATGAACAATTTTGTCAAAATTCTGAACCCTCTTCACCAGCAACTTTCAATTCTTCAATCGTGCTGTTATCTGACCCTGGAGATTTACATTTCTTCATGTGGTTTATAGCATCTTCCACTTCCGCTTTCGATATTGACGGTCATTCCCAAAACTCGTGACTCTATGTCTGGTCTGCTGTTATCATCGTATAGCTCCTTTCTATACTGTGTCTATCTTTTAATTACCCTCTCTTTGTATATTAAAATGTCACATGTATATTTTCCAAAACCTGATAGTTCTTGTATTGTTCTGCACATGTCTGGTGTGTTCTGTCTGTGCTCCTCAATTTCTTTGCACTTATTATTTAGCCATACTCCTTTCGCTGCATTACATTTACGTACAATACATCTGTGTATTATTTTTAAATTCATCTTGGTTGTCTTTATTTTTTCTTCTAATTTCCATCAGATGTAAAATTTCTTCTGTCATCCATTTTTTGTTTGCTGTCTTCTGTACTTCTGGTTATATTTCTTTTGATATCTGTTGTAATGACTATTTCAGCATTTGTCATTGTTCATCTAAACTGCTTGTTTTTTCAATAGCATTTTGAACAGAAATGGTGGATCTCATTCATTTCTTGATTTCGTTCAAGCCTTGCGAAATCTGGCCTGGTATTTCTTGGAGCCCTTTCTAGTTTCTTCAACTTTATCCTTAGATTTCTAATGACTGGCACACGGTCACTTTTACAGACTGCACTTGCTCTTTAAGGGTGAACGTGCGAAGTAATAGTAATATTAATAATAGTGTTTTTAAAATAATTATTACAAAGGGACCTTTGAATAAAAACATATGAAGAATGAGAGAAATAAAAATAACCATGCATTAGCTTGTAACCTGTCAATATTGTTGTTAGGGATATCACGTGTGCTAAATAAACGACACTACAGTGCTGAAGGTTCAGTCACGGTGTTAAAGGGCTTGCTCCCCCCTCCCCCCCCCCCCCCCCTTCCTGAAACATGCTGTGTGTAGGGTTGAAGGGGCCGGAGTCGCGTGGCTCTAGCCCCCAGACTAGTAGCTTTATATATCATTTATACTGATCAGTCACAGATACTATGGGATCGCCAGTTGTCTCCTGTTCGCCGTGGCCCAGATGATTGTGTCCGGAAGTCTGGCCTACCATTTCAAAATGACAGTCGCAACATTTGGGTGTGCATACTGTTATCGTTTTGTTGTTGTTGTTCGTTTTTTACTTACAAGTATTGTCTTCTTCTTCTTCTTCTTCTTCTTCTTCTTCTTCTTCTTCTTCTGCTGCTGCTGCTGCTGCTGCTGCTTCCCCTGCTTCAGCTCCTTGGTAATGTTATCAGTAATCTTAATACAACTTTTTACTACTACTACTACTACTACTACTACTACTACTACTACTACTACTACTACTACTACTACTACTACTACTACTACTACTACTACTACTACTACTACTACTATTACTATTACTACTACTACTACTACTACTACTACTACTACTACTACTACTACTACTACTACTACTACTACTACTACTACTACTACTACTACTACAACTGCTGCTGCTGCTGCTACTGTTGTTGCTGCTGCTACTACTACTGCTGCTGCTCCCGCGCGCGTGGACACACACACACGTACACACATACACACGTGCACAGTGCCATAATATTTAATGATATATCTTAACGACATTAATTGATTCCACAGGAAACCGCTGGAACATCTGAACTACATCTACTTCCCGTTCTACACCCGGATCGGTCCTTTCGCACTGGGTATCCTGACCGGGTACATTATGTCCACCAACAACGGCCGTGTCGTCATGGACAGGGTAAACACTGTTTCTGTCTCCTTTGCGGGTTCTATCACATACCGCTCGTGTCGCGTGCCTGATTTAAGGATTTCTTCTTAAGAACCAACAGCACTCTGAAATAATAATGTTGAGGCGTTGGCTCGTATTGGTCTAAGGGAGATCCCGTGGCCAATATACGCCCAACTTATTTCAGGAGTAGGGCAACTCAAGCTCTGGCACTACAGAATATTTAATATTCCTAGGCACACTTGGCTGGACACCCCCACTACTATAAAAAGCTAGCACCCAGGTTATGACAGTATACTATCATAGCCATGTTAACACAGATTACACTGATTAATCACACAAACATAAAACTAGACAGTTAGAATGGTGAAACAGGGACACCCAAGTCAGCCATGAAAATTTCGAAATGAATGTAAAACTTTCAACACATATATATGTATAAATATCAAGACAATCAAGATGGTTTCCAGTGAAAGGAGTTCATGACTTAACGTCACAGAAAGGATGTTGAAACAGCCAAAGTCAGTTCTTAAACAAGTACATAATTCATCACTGTGAACTAAAGGTAGCAATGTAAGAGAGCATGTATGTCATCTCAGAGTTTACTTAACCAAACTGGTAGGTCTCTGCTCCCCTAAGTCCATGGTGACTTGAACCGGCTGACTCAATAGATTGCTTTTCCTCTGGTTGATCTGGTAACCACTGATCGTCTCACATATGAGGACAAAGGAACTGCACTGGAGCCCAACAAAGCTCCTGACGAAGGAATCCTTGGATTGTTGACCCAGGTGGCTTGCAACACTGTCACTCGGCCACTGGAACTCACACACAAACTCCTTCCATGTTGAAGTTCTGCCAACAATAGGTAGAGTGTTAGGAAGGTTTGGTGATAGGAATGGTATGGGTTGGTGATTGCTGGTTGGACTGTGATTCTTCTGCCTGACTTCTAAGGAGATTTCATCCCAAGCTTAGGAATCCTTCAAGGATTAAACTGGTACTTTGAAAGCGCCAAGGTTTAATTGGAGAATTACAACGTCGCCCGACACTTCAAAAGTTTGGCAAAAGAATGCCCGCCCAGACTAAGCTTGGCGTCTCTAGGAAAGAAGTCCCTGTATTCGTGCTCAAGGAGTTAAAAGGCTTACAGGAATTTATGATTATACTTAAGAAATATTCATCCCACAGTTGCAAGTTTTAAAATGTAGACTTCTCAAAACAACTAGAGGGTCTAGAAATGTTTACTTCACCAGATAGAGGTAAATCAATATAAGGGAATATCCCCCCCCCCCCCGACGGGTTTAAATTTGAAATGTGACGTGCCCGCTAGGGATGTCAGCGTCACGACTCGTCCACAGTGTAGGGTTGGCTGTTCACTTCACGACAGGTTCTTCTAGTGATTCAGAGCTAGTGCAACTTTATGTTTAATACAAGTTTCTAGTAACAATTGTGTGGGAGTTATGCCAGGTATGTTTGTTCCATGTCCTGCTAGAAAACTTGTGTTGTGGTAGGTGCAGTAAAGCTGATATCCATAAGTCATCTAAGACAACATGTTGCCCTTGTTGGCTGCTGTTGATTTTATGATTTTTGGTGTATACAACGAATCAACATCTTGGCACAAGGGTAGTAACTCATAAGTTCTCCGTTCTACTTTTAACTCAAGCCTGAGTCCGAAGAATCTCTGCGTAGTGCACGAATTCTGTAGCACCGGCGAGGATCCCAAAATTCCTTAGGTAGATTTTTTAATCCAAATTTTGCCCAGGCAATGCCGTTAGGCTACTTTTTTCGATTTCCAGTTTGATATAAACGTGCTTATTAACACACACACACACACACACACACACACACACACACACACACACACACACACACACACACACACACACCCCCCCCCCCCCCCCCCCCCCCCCCCCATTTTACAACCCAGAGACGAGGAAGAGTTACTAGAAGTCTACGGAAAATACCCGAGACCTCCAGCACTCGAGGCGGATGCCATGCCTCTAGACCACTTAGCCCCCCCCCCCCCCCCACCCACCCCCCAGTTTTTTTTTTTTATTTATGCATGACAAACTAGGCCTGGTCAAGACCTCTGAGAGCAAGTGAAAGATGCAGACTGAGCAATATTATTTGCGGAGAATTGTACACCAACGGGATCTGCACGACATTCTACACTTAGTGAAAGGCAAGTCGGACGCATAATCTAACTACTACTGGGGCTACCCACAGGTGAATGCTCAAGGGAAGTTGACGGGTGCATAGCAGATAGTGTGCAAATTAATACATATGTCTGTTTTTTGTCACTGAAGTGTACTTTTCGTCATGTCTTTAGCAATAATGACATTGTCACTGAAGTGTACTTTTCGTCATGTCTTTAGCAATAATGACATTGTCACTGAAGTGTACTTTTCGTCATGTCTTTAGCAATAATGACATGCAGCTCTCAACACAGTTAGGGAGATACTTAGTTTCCACTTTAAAAAGGGAGTACATTGAAAGATCAGAGAGATCCAGGGCCGTTGATGCCAGGTTTCTTGGGCAGTTGGGTGTATCGGTTGTAGAAGTCTCCAAGGGAGTAATTCTTTCACCCTGGAAAATTATTCATTCTAGTCAAGACCGTTGTGGAAGACCAAAAAGACACAAAACACAATCGAGAAAACCTTTGATTAAAAAAAAACACACACACACACACACACACACACACACAAATTAAAATAAAAGTCTTAGGGGCGACCTGCTTGCCTATGAGTTTAATGGCTGTATGGGGGGGGGGGGGGCACAGACATATGGACTTCTTGGGGACATCTATTGCCTGTTCCCCGGCAAGCAGGCTCTACTACGGGGACCGTTTACTTCCTGCTTTGGAGGGGGAGGGGGAAGGGGAGAGAACACATTCACGTAGATGTCATACCTAAAATGAAAAGCATAATTACAACAGTTAGAAATGCCTGTTGTGTGCTTGATATCATCTTCAGCTAGCAAAGGAGAGACCGTGCAGAGCAGAAGTTGCGGAACTGGAGAGAGAAGACATAGAATTAGGAAAACTGAAGCCAGGAGAGGCTGGGGAAACACAGAGCGCTTAGGCACTCTTGGTTGGCTTCTGAAGATGTCGACGGGTCGCTTATGGGAACACCACAAGTGCTTTGATGTCAGTTCTTAGCTCAGTAAACGAAACTCAACACTTATGATTCTACTGTTTTGTCCGTTCGTAGAGAATCTTATCGAAATGTTTGATTATTTTTGCGAGTGTCTTTTCATTTCGCTCCATTGAACTCTCACTTGAAGTTTGTTTTGAGTTGAGCTACGTCTTGGCATAGGACATAGTTCTTCAAGTGTACGGGCTGTCATATCTGAAACGTGACAAAACGTTTGGTGACATGTCGAGGTGTTCACGTGTCCCATTTTCACTGGAAAGTCCTTTTTTTTCGGTAGTTACACAGAATGTGCCGACTAGTTCTGCTGTGCATACTGTCACATGATCTGTTATTTTTTATTCTTTTTGCATATTCCATTGAGGGATTATTACTCCTGCTCCTACTTCTCCTGCTTCGTTCTTAGACCCATTAGTATATGCAACCAGGCTGTCTGATCGAATCTGGTCAATGTTTTCTTCTGTTATTGTTTTGGCTTCAAATGTTTCAGTATTTTTATTAATACTTTTCATCAGACTCATGTCTGTCCTAGGCAGCTCTAGTCTCCATGGAGGGATTTGAGGGATAAACCTAACGCTTGCCTCTAGAGTCCTAGCTAAGTCCTCATCATCGTTAATTTCTAGTGCAGCGTTCCAGGCTGCTGGTCTCTGTATGTCTCTGACCGGTCTGTCACCTAGGTGAGTAATGTTATGATGAAAAGAGTCTGAAGCTGGGTGTCTGGCATCGTTGGCCGCTTTCATCCAATAGCTATAAGTTAGTTGTTTCCTTCTGAGGTTAAGCGGTGTGATGCCTAGTGCTACCTCCATGGCCTCTCTCGATGTTCATTTGCCAGCGCCCATTATGTAGGTCAGAGCTTGGCACTGAATTATATTCAGTTTGCATTGGCTATTCTCTGATGCTGATTCGTATACAACGCTTCCATATTCCATTTTGCCCCTAACGAAAGCTTTACAAAATTGTATTAGGGTGTCCTGGTGTGCTCCCCATCCGTTTCCTCTGATCATTCTCAGCATATTTTTGTACTTTTTGCACTTTACTACGAGATCATCGATGTGCTTAGCCCAGGTCATTTGCTCATCCAGAATCATTCCTATGAATTTCGTCGAACGTGTCCGTTGAACTGTTCTGCCATTAGTTTGGAGTCTCGTTTCTTCTGGGTCATAATTAAGCTGTCTTTTAAAGTTAAAAATCATGATTACTGTTTTGTTGATGTTGATTTTAAATCCCCATTTTCCCATCCAATTTGCAACTTTATTTAGGCTTTTCTGTAATCTTTTCTAAGCGCAGGGTATCTGATTATGGCTGTGGTAAATTGCACAATCGACCGCAAATGGCGTTAGTCCTGTTTCCTTGTTTATAATGGCTTTGTCAAGGTCATTTACTAATATACTGAACAGGGAAGGGGATATACCGAACCCTGAGGAATTCCATTCACCTGATTGTACTTTTGTGATCTGTCATTATTTACTAGTGCTGAAAATGTTATGTCTTACAAGAAGCTTCGGATATATCTATAGGTTCTTCATGTGAATCCAAATTTAGCTGCTTTAAACAAGGCTGGTGACCGATGGCACTGAAGGTATGCCTGTTCCAGATCTAGGAATACAGCCATTGCAAACCGGCTAAATGACTGACTGACTGACTTTCTACCCCACCAGGACATCACACAAGCGATAAACACCCGATGACACAAAGTGCCACCATGTGGATGAGGATCGCCGTGGAGAGGTCCCAGAAACCGCGTTCAGACAATTGGCCATATTTATGACCAGCCTATATTGCGGCCCCTGGCAATAGCCAGGGTGGGGCTTCAAATAACAAAAAGTTTCGTCCTGAAAAGAACGAAACTGGAATATATCTCAACCGGCTAAGTCCAAGTCCAAGTCCTTTGGGGTAAAAAAAAGAAAAGCTCGACCACGTTCAGACTGCCGCTAGCTAGCCTAGGCTGCTAACAGTCTCCGCCTATATTTGTGGTCTGGGTTATTTGCTTCACTTTCGTGACTGAATACTGGTGTTTGTGCCATTTCTGGGCTTGATGCTTCCATCCGAATCAAACCGCTCGTCCTGTTGTCACTGGTGCATGTCTTCCTTCTTCTTTCTTGGTGTTTCCTGTTTGTTCTGTTTGATCTGGCTAGGCGTATCTCGAAGGAAAGCGAGCTTCCATACCCCACGTCCTTTGGACCACCATTTATTGTTTTAAAATTTTGGGTATTTTAATATTGCTAAAAAGTACTGAAAACAGTTTTTGAATTTGAATAGTTCAGTGAAAATTATCCGCGTGTGACCATAGTGGTCTTATAGTTGTCTTCCTGTAATATGAACGGGTTAGTCATGTATTGGATATGTGTGTGAGAGTTTATGTGGAGCCTTAAGCGAGTCCAGTCGTCATTTGTTATTATGTGATCGGGTTGTGTTGACAGCTAAGCTCCGGTGTACGTAAATACCATATAACCGGAGCATCCAGCTCACGCTTTTCAACCGGCTAACTGACTGACTTTCTACCCCACCAGGACACCACACAAGCGACAAACACCCGATGACACAAAGTGCCACCATGTGGATGAAGATCACCGTGGAGATGTCACAGAAACCGCGTTCAGACAATTGGCCACATTTATGGCCTGCCTATATTGCGACCCCCCGCGTAAGCCAGAGCGGGGCTTTAAATAACGTTCAACCGGCTAATTGAATGAATTTCTACCCCACCAGGACAACACACAAGCGATAAACACCCAATGACACAAAGTGCCACCATGTGGATGAAGATCACCGTGGAGATGTCACAGAAACCGCGTTCAGACAATTGGCCATATTTATGGCCTGCCTATATTGCGGCCCCTGGCAAAAGCCAGAGTGGGGCTTCAAATAACAAAAAATTACGTTTTTTCTTTCTTGTTTCAGTACGTTGTTGTAATTGGCTGGATCCTTTCTACAACATCCGGATTGGCTGTAGTGTTTGGTGTCCATGGTGATTTGAGCGGGGAAAATCTCAGCAGTTTATTGGTGGCTTCTATTTACACTGCAACATTCCGGACAGTATTTGGGGCCTGTATTTGTTGGATCATTGTCGCCTGCACGTCTGGATATGGAGGTAGGCCCAGCGACAGATGTTGTTATCAACACATATTGTTATAATCAACGTATATACTACAACGAGCACTGATGTGTACGCCAAGTGAGGACTGAAATAGATGCAGATAAGGTTGAATAACACAGTAATTATGAACCTGCATATACGAAGACACATGTCCACTCTCCCCAAGTTTATCTTTCACCTCGACATAAGAAGTTTTAAGAGGATAACGCTGATAATGTGAAAATGTTTTGCCAGTTTTTGTGGCTTTAACGTTTCGAGTGAGCTTCATAATTTAGAAATACCTTGTTCGACTCCAGCTACAGACAATATGGTTGTTGGGAAATAGGTGGCGATGCCACAGCGCCACAAACACCATTTCACAAACAAGTATATATGATTTATGGTTATTTGAAGCCATTCCTTTCTGTGTTAAGCATTGGTTAGGTATACTGAGAACACAAGCAGCCACATAACAAACTGTAATAGATCACCCAAAGTAAGCTTGACTAGTGCAGTCACGTTCTTTTATTTTGGACGAACACACGAAAACGATGAATTGGTGATGCCGAATGAACGAATAGTTTCTCTGTCGCTATTATTCAACGAATGGCCCACTCGCTCAATAATGACGTCAGCAACAGACTAACAAGTCCTTGCGTGCGTGTACAGGCACAAAATCCGAACAGTTCCCAGACTGCATAACTTGAAGACTGTAACCTGCAAGGTTCGCACCAGAAGACTAGTACGATTCAAGTACGCCCTACGAGCACACTATGCTTGTATAAAGTTCTGCCTAGTCTTCACAATTGGACAGAACACAATACACTCCTTGCACTCCATGTCCAGATGGATGCAACGGGCACCTCCTGCCCGATCACGCGGTGTCCACCTTCCACTGATGGTCGTGACCGTTCTCTGGCAACTCCCAATGCAGGAGACCCCGCCACCTGAGGACTTCAGGTTTGGAGTTCTCCTAAAAAAGAGGGCTATAGGGCGAAAAGGGAATTTTGCTTTAACTTTTTAATATTACATAATAAAATTTGATAAAAGCTAAATTTTTTTAAATAGCTAAGATAATTAACATAAGCAAATCTTTTTTTTTTTTTAAAAAGGCGTCAACTTGGGGAAACATTATCGCCACAGGACCACCACGGCCTTATCTGACTCTTGAACTAGTAGGAGGAGGTCGTAGGAGGTAGAAGGTCGTAGGATCTAGAAAGATACGGATTAACTCACTGATATACTGCTCATGATAAGCTACAGATGAGAAATGTTGCGCCCACGAGCATAATTTGAAACAAACATCAAACAAAAGCAGTTAGTTTTAAATGCTTCCTAATACCCAAAGTGTTTGTTTTTAAGGACCAATTCACGCCTTCCTGTCCTGGTCACCATTCACAGTCCTGAGCCGCTTGACCTATAGTGGCTACCTCATCCACATCAATGTACTTGATGTCATGCTTCAGAACCTGGAGCAGCCCATTTATTTAAACATGTTTGCTGTGGTAGGTTAATTATAGATTTTACACGGTCATAACTATTTCGTAGTATAATTCACAACTGAAACGCTGGCAATACAAGACAAGGATATACTTCACAACCGAAACACCGGCAGCACTAGACAAAAGTATACTTCGCAACAAAAACACCGACAGTACTAGAAAAAATTGTTTATTTCACAACAGAAACAGAGACAGTACTAGACACAAGTTTACTTCACATCAGAAACACTGACAGTACTGGACAAAAGTTTACTACATATCAGAAACACTGACAGTACTAGACAAAAGTTTACTTCATATCAGAAACACTTACAGTACTAGACACAAGTTTACTTCACATCAGAAACACTGACAGTACTGGACAAAAGTTTACTTCATATCAGAAACACTGACAGTACTAGACAAAAGTTTACTTCACATCAGAAACATTGACAGTACTAGACACAAGTTTACTTCACATCAGAAACACTGACAGTACTAGACACAAGTTTACTTCACATTAGAAACATTGACAGTACTAGACAAAAGTTTACTTCACATCAGAAACACTGACAGTACTGGACAAAAGTTTACTTCACATCAAAAACATTGACAGTACTGGACAAAAGTTTACTTCCCATCAGAAACATTGACAGTACTGGACAAAAGTTTACTTCACATCAGAAACATTGACAGTACTAGACAAAAGTTTACTTCACATCAGAAACATTGACAGTACTGGACAAAAGTTTACTTCACATCAGAAACATTGACAGTACTAGACAAAAGTTTACTTCACATCAGAAACATTGACAGTACTAGACAAAAGTTTACTTCACATCAGAAACATTGACAGTACTAGACAAAAGTTTACTTCACATCAGAAACACTGACAGTACTAGACAAAAGTTTACTTCATATCAGAAACACTGACAGTACTAGACAAAAGTTTACTTCATATCAGAAACACTGACAGTACTAGACACAAGTTTACTTCACATCAAAAACATTGACAGTACTGGACAAAAGTTTACTTCATATCAGAAACACTGACAGTACTAGACACAAGTTTACTTCACATCAGAAACACTGACAGTACTGGACAAAGGTTTACTTCATATCAGAAACACTGACAGTACTAGACACAAGTTTACTTCACATCAGAAACATTGACAGTACTGGACAAAAGTTTACTTCATATCAGAAACATTGACAGTACTGGACAAAAGTTTACTTCACATCAGAAACATTGACAGTACTAGACAAAAGTTTACTTCACATCAGAAACATTGACAGTACTAGACAAAAGTTTACTTCACATCAGAAACATTGACAGTACTAGACAAAAGTTTACTTCACATCAGAAACATTGACAGTACTAGACAAAAGTTTACTTCACATCAGAAACATTGACAGTACTAGACAAAAGTTTACTTCACATCAGAAACACTGACAGTACAAAGTTTTACTTCACAAACAGAGAAACACTTGGACCACATTACCCACCGAGTGTCGATTGATCTATAATAAAAGGAAGCTAGCATCATATACCTATTGTGTCACTGGTGTAAAACCCGAATTTAATCATAATTGTTAGCCAGGAATTAGTGATTCCTTATTAGTGAAGGATTATCATCACAGACCAGCGTACGGCTCGAGGCCTAGTGGTCAGTGAATGCGGTTAACACATACTTTATCCTCAAATACCAAGGTTCGTTCCTCGCGGTAGACGGTTGAAAAGTCGGTCTCGTGGTTTTCGGACAAAGGTATGGGAGTCCTACCGTAAAAGTGATTGAGGTGTCACCACGTACGGTAAAAATCCTCAAGTGGTACACTGTAGCCAACCTTCGTTGTGGAGACGGCACAGAACTTTCTTTGAATCATCAAAGTACTCCGGGCAGACCCCTAGGTGCTCCGTCGTCCTCGGTAAATCAACCAGAATAAATCGACTGACAACAACAGTATATAATGAAATATGACCAGACAGATAAACTTAAGTCCACAATCAGGCACTGTGCGACATGCTCAGCCGCACGGGGTGGCCAACATATTTGGGTGGCATAATTTGAAGGGCGGCAAAATATAATAGTAGTGATAAAATGATTATGTTTTCATTACTTGCATAATTATGAAATTCAAGTGTATTTGGGAAAGAGCGGGCAGATAGATTGGCCCCACATGGAGGTGTACCGCAACTGCATAGATGATCTCTAACCTGTACGATAAAGTAACAGGTGAAATAGAAGATACTGCAAACCGGTACCTAGAGAGACTGATACAGCTGGGAGTGGTTGTGAGCTCTGGGCTCTCGGAGGGAAGGCAAGACGAGTAGTTATCCAGAGGGCGGAGAGAAGGCATGGCAACAGTCTGCATCTGTATGGAAACTCTTGTCGGTCTATTGAGGACGGAGACTTTCTTGAAGCCTCGGAGATGTGGTTTTACAGAAGACTTATAACAGTTCCTTGAACAGGTTAAAACAAATTACAAACGATATAAAACTTGTGAGTGGTAGGGACTATTTGAACTAACAACAAACTGTAATTTCAAAGGGTCACAAAATAGGCACGCAGGCTCGTCTTACAAGAGCCCTTCGAAACGCCTCATCCTTGACACAGCGTAAGATGAAGAAATGGAAGGTATAATCGTACTCGATCTAATGGCAGCGTATCGGACGTCTTACCCTTGCAGTAAAACAGATGGGGATCCGTACACTGAAAGATTACTTCCATGGGAGAAAAAATGGGCCGTAGGGTTCTAGAAGATATTCAACAATGGGGGAGAAAGGGGAGGGGTGAAGGGTGTTTGCAGCTGGTACTATTAGCATGTTGACTCTTCTTTGGCTGCTGAAGAAGGGGACGTAGCATGTATGAGAGTAGTAATGTCAATTCCTAATTCATTTATTCATTGACTCATTGACTGCTGACTTCAAAAATGGCGAATAACACAGAGTCTGCATCAGCACGATATGCGCGTCATACATTCAAAAACAACCGGAAATGGAGTAGAGCAGGTCAAACAGGTCATGACCCAGGTCATCTCTCAACATTGGTTTGTAGTAACTTAACGCTACTTCAAAGAATAATTCACATATACAGTAAAGTACAATTTTCTACGCTCTTAGGATTATTAGGCAAACATAGCTAGATCTATATTTTATAGCCCAATCTGCGCTTGAAAGGTGATGTGTTCAATATCACACGGACTGCCTTTAATTCCTAGAACTGTACCTGGTACCCATTTAAGGCTGAGTCGACCTGGGAACCCAGGTGTGTTTTTGGAATAAAGTCCAGCTCCGGTAGAACCCACGACTTTCGAATCCGCAGGCGAACGTCTACCCGTTACACCACAGCGGCCTCCAGTAGTATACAATATGACATGATTATTCTGTTTATCTCTCAACCTCCCCCCGCCACCCCCCCCCCCTCCCTCCCCCCCCCCTCTCAGGTTGTTTACGGAACGGCCGGCGTTGTCTTTATCAGCGCCGTGGCCGCCATCTTGTTTGTGTGTGTGGAGATGCCGACGTTAAGTCTGGAGAAAGTTCGAGCTAACGGAAGGAAACTGTAAATACGATTGCTAGATAACTGTTCCTGGGCAGAGAAACTCAGAAGATATATCTATCTCCACACACTTTTAATTTTTATATGAGAAGGTTTTTCCCTTTAGTCGTTTAATTTTAGTTCACCCGATCTCAGGAGCTCCAAGAGCTGATGTTAAATTAAGAATTAAGAATCGACATCACAACACTCGGGACACTCCCATAAGTGGTCATCTTCAAAAGGTCATGAGAAATTCTAACCCTTACTCACCTATAATATTGGACTTTCCCCGTGGAACTCTCGGATTTCCTGAGATGGAGTGAGCTACACTGACAGTATCTTCATTCTATTTGAGTATTTTGTTTTCCTCACATTACTCTCTCTCTCTCTCTCTCTCTCTCTCTCTCTCTCTCTCTCTCTCTCTCTCTCTCTCTCTCTCTCTCTCTCTCTCTCTCTCTCTGTCTCCCTCTCTCTCTCTCTTCAGTAAAGTAAAGACCCCTTTACGCCTGTAGTGCATCGTGTATATGATACTAGATACCTATTCAATAGATCAGTGGATGATATGGTCCAAGTCATCGAGCTGTTTTGTAGAGTTCCACTGAACTAAATTTCCTAGTGTTTCTGCCCTTGATGTTCGAGTGTTCCAGGTAACAAACAGGCTGATAGATTAGCTGCTGCCGCTCCTCTAGGCGGTCAGCTACTATATGATAACGGGGATTTGGTGAAGGTTATTTGGGATTAAAAGGACTGTGCAAAAGAATAGATAGTAAATCCAAACAGTGAAAGACTAATTCAGCCGGGGGAAAAAAAAAGGGAGGGTGGAGTAGAGGTTCTCGGAGATATTCAACACTGAAGAGGAAACAGCGACAGACTTTTAATCAGGTTGCAACTAGCGCCATTAGTATGTTGACTCTTCATTGGCTACTGGGGAAGGGGACGGAGCACGTGAGAGAAGGTCCAGAGTACAGTGATGTCAGTCCTTGATTCATTCATCCAATCATTCCATCCCTGGTGGTAACTACTGCTGCCTTCACACATACTCGATTCAACTTGTCACAGTTATAAGCCACTATCATTGATACTCGTAATTTGATTTAGTTGTTATGCATACAGACATTATATGTGAGAGCTCCACGCTTTTTTAGTCACAGTATAACATTGTAGATGACCATTTGTAGAGATAATTAGTTAAAGTCCGCTGTTCTTTTAAGCTATATAATGAATATAATATAATATTTCAAGCAAACGAAAGAAGAAGCAGCCGCAGCGAAGGAAGAAGAAGAAGAAGAAGAAGAAGAAGAAGAAGAAGAAGAAGAAGAAGAAGAAGAAGAAGAAGAAGAAGAAGAAGAAGAAGAAGAAGAAGAAGAAGAAGAAGAAGAAGAAGAAGAAGAAAAAGAAAAGAAGAAGAAGAGGAGGAGGAGAGAAGAAGGTGAAAAGAAGAAGAAGCGGAGGAAAGAAGAAGAAGAAGAAGAAGAAGAAGAAGAAGAAGAAGAAGAAGAAGAAGAAGAAGAAGAAGAAGAAGAAGAAGAAGAAGAAGAAGAAGAAGAAGAAGAAGAAGAAGTTGCGCATTATTTTACTGGACATTGCAGAACCAACACTGAAATTTTTTTTTTTTTTTTTTTTTTGTGTGTGTTTTGTGTGAGGCTGGTGTATGTGTTCTGTGAAAATTTTACGTTCAGTATTTTGCCATTGCTTTCTGCACGGTCAATAACAATGTCAAAACCGACGCAAAACTTCCTGTTTCCAATCGTCCGCAGCTGGGATTGAACCTGGCACCCCGGCAGTAGGAAGTGTGTTTACAATGCCTAATACACAGACGCCGACTTAATCAAGTATCCATACAATAAATATATCGATATAAAATGTCATTGTGAAAGTCGTTCCTACTACTAGGCGCGTCCACCAGGTGGCGGATGGTGGAAAGGCCTCTAGATATAGAGGTTAGCCACGAATATATTGACTAGGTGGCCGTGGACCAAAACAGGTGATGGTCATTGAGAGGAGGCGAGTTAGTTGGTGGGACAGCTAACTTCATTAAAATACCTCAAAACTCTACGACATGGCTATCAGCGGGTAAGAGGCGCCAGAAACTCTCCCTCCTGCTGCCTTGCAGGGTAAGTCTCTTTAGACAAAGGCTATTGTATCAAACCATATACAAACCGGCGGAAGTCAAGGGGAAACCACCGCTGTATTATCCCTAGTCAATCATGCCTCAGAATATTATGTAGAGGAAGACAACAAGAGAAGATTCTTGACAGTCTTGTTGAATAGCATGGAGGCGTGTCGGCACACGAACTGATACATGCTGCAGGAAATCGTGGATTATGGAGAGGCATGATCGCCCACGCCAGTGGATGATGATGATGAAAGTCGTATGTCAAATTAATCATTCAATAAAAAAAAAATTTTTAAGTACTACATCGGCTGTTGTATGCAATCTAAGTAAAAAAAATCTTTTTTTTTTTTTTTTTTTTAAAGTGTTTTTTTTTTTCTTGGCCAACACATGATGTAAGAATCAACTCAATGTTTTATCCATCGGCTGGTAGGATCAGTCATGAATCACCGGCTACACCAGACCTCATCCTGTTACAGCTGGCAACATTTACAAAACTGAGTATGGGAACATGGAATGTGAGAATATTGACAGAATTTTGATCATTCGAAAATGTAATTTAAAAAGAAAAAAGAAAATGATGAGAATGAATATCCTAGGAGTAAGTGAGATGAGATGGAAAGGAACAGGTAAAGTCTCAGACGTATGTTAAGAATCCCCTGGACTTCCAGAGTAACTAACGAGGATTGCTTGAAGGAAGTTAAGGAAAACAGATCAAGGTATACAGCTACGAGGATAAAACAAGCATTGTTCTTTGTTCGTGTGATGAGGGTGGGGGGGGGGGGAGGCTATGGAGAATACTGTAATGACTGGAAAGATCAATGGTAGAAGACGGAGAAGCAGACCACAAGAGAAGATGACGGATCTGACGATATCATTAGTGGAACTGATCCAGAGAACAAGTGACAGAGATCTGTGAAGATGCATTAGCACCTACACCAGTCGTCAGAGCACGTAATGATGATGATGATTATGATTACATAACGAATCATCATCATCATGTTGCAGGTCCTTTGCAGAACGTCGCTTTCATCACAGTCTGCTTGAAAGAAACTCTTTCGCCAGTTCTCCCGCCTAATGCACTTTGACACTGAAGGAGTCACCTATATCCTGTGCCCATCTTCGTGTCGGTCAGCCCCTGTCCCTCCTTCCTGGTACCATGCCTTCTGGCGCTTGATATGATGCTCAACCATAGACTTTAAAAGATGTTCAATCTGTGCATTGCTATGGCCTAGATATTCAAAGTTTGTGACATTTTCAATTTATGTAACGAATACATGTTCTAATTCTTAGCTTCAGTACCAATAAAACAGTGTTAGAATGCCAGGGCTGTTTCACATTATTGTGTGGTGCAGAAACAGGACAATGCGAGTTGTTGTTGTTGTGAGGGCTGTACATTTTAAACAGAACGTCGCTCTCATCACGGCCTGCCTGAAAGAAACTCGGTCTCTCTCCGACTCTCCCACCCCAGGCACTTTCATACCCAAAGTGTCTCTTATATCATGTGATTATCTTCCTGATGGTCGGCCCCTGCTCCTCCTAGGTACCATACCCTCCTCTCCTGTTTTGTTTCCAATCCATCGTGGTCCCTAATTTGGCCAAAGTATTTCAGTTTTCCAGACAAGGTGCTGTTTTTTCTTCTTCTTTTATGTTCTGATCTTTTAGGACGTCAATATATCAATATTAGTACTAGGACAGCTAACCCCTCTCTTACAATATAAGGCAGTACCAATTAGCACAAGGAGACATCTCATAAATAGCAGACTCATTCCCACCCTATGCTACCAGTGCCAGGCGTGGTCATGCACAACAAAACTTAAAAAACAATTAGTAACCATGGAAATGAGGTGTCTGAGAAAGACTGTAGGAGTGACCAGAAAAGACAAAATTAAGGATGAGGTCATACGAGAAAGTAGGCACAGAACCAATTCTAAATTACAGACAAAGACAGCAAATCAAATAGTTTGATCACTTGGAGAGAATGCCTTCTAATGCTATTCTATACAAGGCATTTACGAAAAGAAGAGAAGGACATAGAGCAAAAGATAGCCCAAGAAAAAGATGGAAAATTATCATCAGAGAAACTCTACAGCACTACGATGTGTCTATGGTCGAAACAGCCAGAAGAGCACGAAGCTGGATCCTACATCTCCCTTGACAGCCGAAACGGTAAAAGAGGACGTACAAAACAAGAAGAATATACCTTGTCGTCTCTTCTTAGTCCACGGTATTCGTGTAGCTCAAAAGCCTATATTTTCGTTCTTAATTATTGCCAGATAGTCCGCGACTAACATCCAAGTCTCAGAGCACATGCCCAAGAGGCGAAGAACAAGCAGTCTGCAAATAGATAAGGCAGTATCTGTAAAATGGACTACACGCAGAAGTCAAGTTTTGAAACTAGATAACGGGTCAGGAGTGGCGAACAACCTGAACTTTCTGCAGTAATTTTCATGTGCTGAACACGAAGAAGACCAACGGATCCTAGGTTACAGCAAAGATGCTGACTTCACTGATGTTATTGCACTGACTTTCTGGCTGTCATCTTGTGCAGTCTACTCTGACACATCCTTGAATACTGTAGAACAGCCAACTGGAATGTGACATATGCTGAGAAACATCAGAAAAGCTAAAAACATTCGTATTTCACAACGATGCATTCTCCTATCAATCAGTGTCAGAGGTGAAACGTGTCTAGGGTAGCAGATACATTCACAATTATGCAGATACTTATTACAATTATAAAGAATAACACTGTCACTGTCTCTCGCGTTAGCACTCTACATACTCATGAAATATTATCACAAGTTAAAGTCACAGCATCATCCGTACCTTCCATTTCGTGTCGTCGTGGATTCATTGGCCGGGTCTCTCCAAACAGCTCTGGGTGCAGTTAAGGGTCAGCGGCTGATAAGAGG